AGATGCTACTTGAACCCACGTGTCATGGCGAGAGGAAGCACAAGCAGTAATAGAGAGAGGCCCAGTGGGAAAAGTGAAGATCTCAGTTGGGAGCAGAAACTGAGGTCCCAGATACATGGTCCCAACTGAGGTATCCGAGCTGAACCCAGCTATTTGAGCCACCTCAGCTGAAGTTCAGACACAGTGGAGCAGAGGCAAGCTTCTCAGCATCCAAAATTGTAAACAAATAATATGGTTGTTGTTTCAAGTCACTGAACCCTCAGTGATTCATCCTAGAGCAATAGAAAACCAAAACAACTAAGGGACCCCAGTCTTTATTTATATATGAGGGAGACAAGCATATACATATCTTTAAAATAATGTGAGTGTCATGAGAGAACCACTCAGTGTAGAGTAAGAGTGAGAAAACCTTTTGATAAAGAGCTAGATAATATTCTAGACTTTGTGGACCATACCATGACTCAACTACTTAATTCTATTATTGTAGGGAAAAACAGTCAGACAATATGTAACTGAATGAGTTCCAATTAAACGTTTTTTACAAAAATAGGTGGAGGACGTAATTTTGGTCCCACCGCTGTACTTACCAGTCCCTAGTCTAGACTTCGAGCATGAGGGGAAGCCTATGAATGGAGTGATGTCTGAGATTGCATCTTAAAGGAGCAATCAGAAACTGAAATCTTTGGAAACTCTTAGTGTAAAATAATAATAACCTTATGAAATTGCATACACTGGACCCTGGAAGATCATCCTAATAGAGGTAGGCCAACAAGAGCTAAGTTATCAGAGAAGTCTGGAGAAGCAATAGGGACAGAGGGAAGAGCTGGAAGCTTCTCCTCTGGTCCAGGTGACCCCAAACAGGGATCAGAGCTTAGCACGTAGCTCAACAGACAGTCCAGCTCTCTCATCTGCATGCTCAGTAAGCACTGTCCCTCTGCTCTGATAGTTGTTCTCGTGAATGAAATGTAACGCCTACTTGTCACCCTCCCCCTGTTTCTTGAGAATAGGAAGCTTGTCTTTTTCTTTCTTAAAAATTTCATTTATTGTATATTATTTTTTGAAGAAAATGCATATTTCTTGTCTTCTGGGCTTGGCCTTCCTTCCTGCCTGTTTTTTCTTAAGCACAGGCCTGAATCTCTTAATCCAGAGAATGACTCATTGGTTAGCCTAGAGACCGACCACATTCCAGCTGCTGCAGGAAAGCATCAATGAAAGCAGTTAGACTTTTAAATTTAAGTGAAAACCAGTAAAACTTGTAAAAGTTGTGACTGGATTAAGGAAATGTGAGTGAGTACCATGTCCTCCTGGTATTGGTTCCAGGATAGAACAGTAAGAGAAAACTCTTTGGGAACCAAGTCATAAGGCAGATAAATGCCCATTGGGAAAGCTGTTCAGGATCTTGAGGTGGTCAGGAGGCAGTGGCTTGGAATGGATGACTTACCTACTCAATTTTTTCTTCTTTCCTAGGTTACTTGACATGTTACACTATCACTTACTCTTGTTTCTTTCCCAACCCTTGTTTAATCCCACCATTGCAAAATCCTGTGATTGTTACCTCTGAGAAGCACCACTGCTCACTCTTTTATGTACTCTTTCATATTTATACGTATGCTTGTATAGACAGATACACCCGTACATACACCAGCAGATAGGACAGTAAAATGATCTGCTTACATCCTAAGTGAACTAAGGTGTATAATGTGTATCAGCTATTCCCCCAATTCTATCTCCAGACACTGCCACAAAAAAATTGTCACCATTTCTCCACTGTATTCTTCTCCCTAAGATTTGGCTCAAACTATTTCTGAGAACCCTTCTCCATTTTCAAGCAAATTTGTCTATCATCTTCTCCATGTATATATGTGGAACTTTGTGCATTTTAAAAAATAGTGCTATCATATCACACTGATGTTTTAAACATCTGTTTACTTTATTGGACTATAAGCCTTCTCAAGTCAAGGCACATATCATATAGCCTATAATAAGCACGCAGTCAGTATTTGTTGAATAAATGAATTAAGGGAAGAATAAAATGAACAAAGTCTTGTTGAAGTCAATGAATTTGAGCTTCAAAATAGAAACACATGGTACAGTTACTCACCAAACTGAAAATCTGTGTTTCTCCAGTTCCCCCAAATAAGATATATCCTCTGAATAATCTTCAATTTCTCCAGTTCTCCAAAAAGTTGGTTTTTCCTTCATGGAATGATCAGATGGGCTTTCTCCCTTATTAATGAAATTAAATAATTTTTGTAAAAAAGAAGTATTTTAACACATAGCAGAATGACTTATCATTGATCATACAGAAGTATAGTTAGCCATAGTTTATACATTGAAATTATTGTTTTGCATTCAGATTCTGTCACTAAGTTCTCCTCTCTATAATGGCAGAAACTATGTCATATTCATTTTTGTATTATCTCCATGGAAGAGCTTCTACAGGTTACTAGAATAAAAAAACATAATCATAGTCACAATATTTACATTGTCAAGACTATTGGTTGCAAGTAAAGGAAATACAGCTTGAACTAGCTTTCAGCAAAAAGGAATTCAAAGGAAGCCTGAACAACCAGCCTATGGAAAAACAGGGAAGCAGCTGGGTTGCAGGAATATGGGACCTAAGGAATCAAAAGCCACCAGGGCTCTTTCACCACCTCTGTTCTCTACTGCAGCACGTTACTTCATTCTAGCATTGTCACCGATGCCTCCTGAGTTCCACACATGAATTTAAACTCAAGACCATGCAATGTCTGTGAAGTTAAATTACTAGAACTTGAGTGAACCACTGGATCCATCAAACAGATCGTCCCATTAAAGACAGTGCGCCTTACATTTAGACCAAGCATTCTTCGGAGCCCAGCTCTGGTGGGAGCAGGTAGAGGAAGCAGCTGACCTACCTGGGCTTTTCCTCCCTCTTCTACCAAAACAGTTCAATTTTTACCCATTTATAGTTTGGGATCTTTGGTAAGAATTTATTATAAAATGCTGCTGGCATAAAGTCATTTGAAAACCACTAGTCTACAGAAGAAGGAAACCAGCCATGACTTGCAATTATAAGATAGTTGTGTTAAGAAACTCTTATTTCCCTTAAAAACATCAAATGTTTTAATGATCAGTTGTAAGAGGCCAGTTACCTGAAATTCTGTAATCTCAGTTCATACAAGTTTTAACACAACTCTGTAGCTGCACATTTCACAACTGCAAACTGTTGCTTTGGATTCTCAGTTGTAGTAACCAGAAAAACCTTAGAGTGAAACTAGGTAAGGAAGATGTGTTGAATCACTATGTTGTATAGTCAAAGCCAATGTAATGTATACCAACTATACTTCATTAAAAAACAAAAAAAGATGTATCATCAAATCTAGTGAACTCAACAAGGCTCATTTCTTTTATTATGAAATTGATTTATTTGATTGCCTTAAAAACAGAATCCAGTTATGACAGTCATTGATTTAAAGTACTGTTCATTCTTGGCAGGTCACCACCCCCAGGGCACTGCACAGACAATAGACTGAAAAAACAACTCCTATCTCCTATGGAGAAAGCCTGGAGCTTCAACCTAAGGGACAAGCTTCAGTTCTGCCACACATCTAGAGGCTAAAGAGGCACTCCCAGGTAATGTAACCAAGGAGACACCATCCTTGCACAACCTCATGTCCTCACAACACTGGGTGAGACTTCCCAGAAAGGAGCTTATATACTCATCTGAAGCCCTAATATTTGCAGCTGTAGCCCATAGGACGTCTCCAGATCTCCTGGTCTGTTGGCCAGCAAAGATTATAGTTGTGACCAAGCAGAACTGTAAATTTAAAATAATGGTCATAAACATGCTCACCAAATTTGGGAGAACAATGGATGAAAACTGTGGGAAGTTTGACAAAGAAATAAAACATAAGAAAGTACCAAACAGAAGTCACAGAGATGAAAAATAAAATAACTGAACTGAAAAATAAATTAGGAGGGTTCAATAGTAGACCAGATGAAGTAGAAGAATAAATAGATCAGTGAGCTGCAAGATAAAACAATGGAACTTAGAGCAGAAAAAAGAAAAAAAGAGTTTTCAAAATTAGGATAACTTCAGGGACCTCTAGGACAATATCAAGCAGGATAACATTCTCATTATCTGTGTCCCAGAAGGAAAAGAAAGAGAGAAAGTAGCAGAAAACTTATTTGAAGAAATAAGGGCTGAAAACTTCCCTAACCTAGGGAAGGGAACACATATCCACGTCTAGGAAACCCATAGACTCCAAATAAGATGAATTGAAAGACAGACACACCAAGACACTTTATAATTAAAAGGTAAAAAGTTAAAGATTAAGAGAAAATCTTAAGAACATCAAGAGAATAGCAAATTGTTATGTACAAGGGAAACACCATAATTTATCAGCAAATTTCCCATCAGAAACTTCAAAAGCAGATGGGAATGGCATGACATATCAAAGTAGTGAAAAAGCAAAAAACTTCAAATCAAGAATATCCAGCAAGGTTATCATTTAGGTTTGAAGGAGAGATAAAGAGATTTCCAGAAAAGCTAAAGGAGTTCATCACTACCAAACCATCCTTATAAGAAATATTAAAGAGACTTCTTTAAGCAAAAAGAAATGGTACTAATAACAAGAAAACATACCAAAATAAACACTTCACTGGAAAAAGGTAAATATACAGTAATGGTAGTGAATTAATAACTTGGAAAGCTACTAAGAGGGCTAAAAAACAATAGAAAATTAACTAAAACTACAATAATTAGACACATGAAATTAAAAGATGTAAAAAGTGACATCAAAAACATAAAACATGGGGGGGTAGAAAAAATGTAGTTTTGGAAATTGTTTCTATCAACTTAATGATACAAGGTATACTGGTGAACTTCATGGTAACCACAAAAAAAAAAACTAATAAATACACAAAAGAAAATTAGAAAGCAAAAACACTAAAGAAGGTCCTCAAACCACAAGGGAAGAGAAGAAAGGAACAGAGAGAAACTATAAAAACAGCCGGAAAGCAATTAACAAAATAGCAATAAGTACCTATCTATTAATAATTACTAGAAATGTAAATGGACTAGATTCTCCAATCAAAGGACATAGAGTGGTTGAATGGATAAAACAAACAATGACAAAAATAGAACACAGCCATATATTGCCTATACGTTGAAAACTATAGGATGTTGATGAAAGAAGTTGAAGAAGACACAAATAAGTGGAAATATATCCTGTGCTCATGATCAGAGGATTTCATATTGTTAACATATCCACACTAACCAAAGCAATCTACAAACTCAACACAATTACCCTATCAAAATACCAAGGACATTTTTCACAGAGCTAGAACAAATCATTCTAAAATTTGTACTGAACCACTGTATATCTGGGGAAAGGAAATTCCAGGGCAAAATACCTCTTAAACCAAAATCAGTCAAAAGGAGAAATAAAGTTTAAAATCTATTTATTGCTTACAAACTGCACTCCAGAGCCTTCTCTTTTTCCTGCTCCAGCAGAAGCAAAAATGGCCCTCCCTCTCCCCTCTCAGGTACAGATAAGCCCTCTATTGCCCAGGTAATTACACACTGATATGGAGATCAACTTCTCTCTACCCTGGTGGATATGCAAATGACTAAAGCCATACTTCTTCCCACCTCTGAATACCTATTGATATGCATATGTACTAAAGCCAGGTGAGATATTCTCGAAATATTACAATTTTACCCACAGGCCACCCCTCCAGAAATCTCACCTTACAATTTACTCATTCCCCCTCTTCAGACCAAACTAATGACATATAATAGCAAGAGCAATAAAATTATGATAATCCTCAAGCCAGAGGATTCAGCCTATGCAGATTAAGTAAATGTACTTTATGGCACAATCTCTCATTAAGCACAAAAACTGTTTCTACACTTCTTTACTCATTCCTAACAACCATGCTAGATTGCTCACAAAACTTTTACTAAACGTTAGACAAAGTCAAGCCTCTCTTTAAGCATTTTTTTTCTTGACAACAGCAATACAATCATGATAATTCTCAAGACAGAGGATTCAGCTAGGTTCAAAGTCCCATGCAGATTAAGTCCAAAGCTTATCCATTCCAACCATCACATGGCAGCTGCAGAAAAGAGCTTGAATAGTACAGGACACAAGGACTGTAGAAGCAAATAACTGTGATCTGGGGAGACTTTACTGTTACTCCAGCAATACACAGGACACCAGCTTCTAGGCATTTACTCCAAGGTGCCAGAATGGCCAGCCACTGCTGGTCCATGTGTAGAAATGTCCAGAGCCATGTCCATTTTATTCCTAATTGCTGCACCCATCCTTGCAACACACGTCCAATAAAGTGGGTGGCCATAGGCTGCAAAGAGATACTCTAGGCCCCTCTTGGTGGTTTGCTGATCTGCACAACGTTCAAGGCACTCCTTCTGGGCTTGCCTGACTTCTTCAAAGGTCAATGCAAGCCCCACCGCTGGACTACAGCCCACATTGTCTTTTGCTCCATGTGCACCAAACTCTAATGCAGCCATTGGGCCACTAGACCACATCAGAGGCAGACTTTCCTTCTAGCCAACACACCTAGGCCAATGTGCCTGCTTCATCATTCCCTGGGGATGCCAAAGTCAAATGGCCAATCACATTATATACGGTAGGTGTCTATGCCACACCACTCCATGGCCTCTGGGTCCAGTCTCTTACCCACCCTGTGACGGGATAGCTGGTTATTACTTTGATCAGAGCTGTTCCAGCAATTGGCTTTGTAGCCAGCAAGGCGTGGTGCACAGCAGCCAGTTGCTTCTCTATCAAGGTGACCCGGACCTCTGCTCCTTTCCAGAGTTGTGACCAGGCTCCAGCTGGCAGCAGGAGCAGCAGCAGTGGCAGAAGCAGGAACCTTAGGCTTGGGCCATGGACCAGGGTTGGCATGGCCAGCAGTGGTGGTGGTGCCTCCACGACCACACGAGTGTAAACAGATGTCCCTCAGCCCAAGTACTACTTCTCCCCATCATTTCTAGGGATGGCCCTCCCAAAGGTCACACCTATTATGACAGATTTCAGGTTCAGAGGAATTTTGCCAACTAATGCCAGATGTAAGTCTGGGGAAAGGAAATCCCGGGGCAAAATACTTCTAAAACTGAAATCAATCAAAGGAAGAAATAAACTTTAAAATCTTTTTATTGCTTATGAACTGCACTCAGGGGCTTTCCCTCTTTCCTGCTCCAGCAGAAGCAAAAAAACGGC